AAGGGATTCTTTTCAAACTCATTTTTAGCTTCTTTTCTCAAGTAGTTCAGATCAATGTATGATTTGAGCCAAGGTGATTGTTTGAATTTCAAAACTCTGTGTATTTTTTTAATTTTTCAAGGCTCGGTAATGAATTACATATTTCTCTTTCCTGTGCAGTGTTGCCATTAGCTTTGTTAGCTCTCTTGCTGATTTTGGAGGTTTTCCAGTTTTCGGATTAATATGCTCCGGACAGAAGGGAATATCTTTATGGGCATCGTGTAGTTCCCTAGGATATTCTAAGTCGACTTCTAGCATATAGCCAGTATCGGCATCATCTGACACTTGGGTTACATCAATGTTGGCATCAGCCCATTCGAATCCTCCATAGGGAAGATACTGTGACATTGCCCAGCCGTACTGATTGTTGATATCGAAGTACATTAAATATTTTGATGGTTCCATGGGATTATAGGTTGGTATGTATTTATTATTAGCCTCGGAATATCGGTTTGTGCAAACTTGGCTCAATCCGCCTCGAATACCTCGTTCTACAAAGAGAAACGTGTCTTGATCGGTAAGAAGCTCAATTTCCTGCCTGGTATATTTCATCATTGCGTCCCAAGTAAAACCTGGTAGCGTGAAATAGTGAGCGGGGTCTAAATCATATGTTTTGAGACAGCTCGAGCGAAATTGTTCAAATACATCGGCGAGCAATAAAATATCAGTCTTCATATATAGATCGATATAATCACCTAAATCTTGGCAATCGAAGTTGTTCCACACCTGTTTAGCTCTGAGATATAATCTTTGAGGACATGGTGCATCATTCAGTGTTTTGTAGAATGCTTCTATTGGCGGCAAACAGGCTTCATTAAAACGACCAAACGAGTCAATGTAATCATAGGGCATCACCCCCTTTTTTGTAAGAAGTTTAAACTTATCTACGTCTAGCCCGGTGAACTGCGACTTTAGGTTGGGATGTTCAGGTAAATTTGATGCCAGTTTATCCAACGAAGAATTCATAAATCGGAAACTATCTATAAAGCGAAACTGGATTGGGTAATCATCAATGTGCTTGGTGAATGAGATGTATTTTTCCTTTGTTATTGGCAACAAATCAATAGATCCTTTCATTTTGTTAGCTATGTCTGCAATGATGAAATGGGCCTCGTAGCCGCTCAAGTTATGAAACACCACATATATCACGTGTGAATCTTGTTGATTAATGTTACATGGCGACGAATGGGCAGCACCTCGGTAGTTGTTGTTAGGAATCAAGTGGTTGTGATCTCGAACTTTATCACTTGGCGAATTGAACGGGTGCTCGCAAATGTAACAATGTGTAGCTTTCTGAAACTCTGATTCTTCGGCTTTGGTAATATTAATGTCGTAGGGACACCAGAATACAGTTGCGAGATTTTCTGCTGAGCCATCTCATCAGCGAACCACTGCATACATTCTGCACCACGGAATGACTTGTAAAAAGATAATGAATCATCATAAGAGCACTTTAGGTAATATCCTACAGCAGCTGGAATATGGAGCTGGGTCCTTTTAGAATCCTCCTTTGTTGGGCTCAAAACGCTCTCCAAATCCGCATATACTATAAAAGGCGCTCAGTAGATGTATTATGGGGTTTCACCATCCTCCGTCCTCCGGAGGAGATGACGTCATCTGTCAATCAAGTCACCTTTGATCATGTCAATCAAATTTCAATGTCAAATGTCAAAGATGTCAATCAAATTTCAAATATCTGTCGATGTCAATGTCATCAGTCATCTGTCAATGTCTAACCTACTCCGAACTAGTCTGATCTACTCCAGTGCAACCAATCTGCTCTACTCTAACCCTACCTGGCGCCATCTTTTATCAGTTTTTCGGAGTTGGTCTAGTTTATAGAAATCTATATTGGTCTAGCTGCGTAAATTTTGTAAAATAGTGAGGATGAATGAATCAAAATTTCTTAACCTGCAAAATGATTTTAAGTGGTGATGTTAGCTTAGCCTAATCGAATTGAATTTCAACTGTAGTGGTCATGAGCGCAATTTCGGATGAAATGTTTATTTTTTCCTAATGGATTATTCTATAGAATTCCAAAATATTGAACTAGCCTAGCCTAGCCTAATCTAACTTGGTAAAGTTTGGTAGAAATAGCGCGAGTAATGAAACATAATTTCAGATAAAATGTTATTTATTAATGGATAAATAAAACATTTTGTTTCGATCTTATTCATTGAACCTTGAAATAATTACATTGGCTCTTTCCTATAATTAGGTATAACATTCTAGACAATAAAAAATAAACCACGTTTTCCTATATCATATATTATTGTAGAAAATAAAATTACAAAGAGTTGATAGAAAATAAAGACAATTTTAATCTTCATTAAAGGTATACGAATTACAATACAGGGTGGGCCACTGAAAACTTACAATGGCTATAATTTTTGAACCAAAAACGATATTGAAAAAATAAAAAATACCGTTTTTATAAAATCAAGGCGGAATACACACGACGTATTTTTCAAACCACCCCGACCTACCCCTTAGGCGCCACCCCTACTCGCTTCAAAATCTTTAATGGCAACACCCCACTTGTGGCATCTTTTTGGAAAGCTCATGAAAAATGCTAAACGATGGTCATAAAATTTTTAGGGTGACATTGGGAAACTACCCGTCAAATGAAAAAAATTGGTAGAAATAAATTTTACAAAAAAAAAGAATTTTTAGCATGAAATTAGAGATAGGAAATTGAAGCGACCCAGCTAAATTCAAATTACGTAATTTTCAAACCACTGCGGCCCACCCCTAGGAGCCACCCTCACTCATTTTAAATTCTAAGATTGCGGTACCCCACTTGTGGCACCTCTATGGAAAGCTATTTGAAAATGCTAAACGATGGTCATAAGGATTTTAACCTAAGAAAATTACGGCTAAGTAGAGATTAAGAAATGTAGGTGCGACATTTTGAAAAATAGGAACCAAATTAAAAATTATCTAGATAATTTATTTTAACAATTGCTCAAAATGACTGCCGTTTTGTTCCATACAAAAATACAAACGACTTTCAAATTCTTCTCTCACTTTCTGGAACATCTCTCTCGGAATGTTTCGACATGCCTCAATTATCCTCTGCCGCAATTCTTGCAACGAAGCTGGTTTTGTCTTGTAGACTATGGATTTAATGTAACCCCACAAAAAGAAGTCTAAAGGAGTGAGGTCAGGTGACCTTCGCGGCCACTCGATTGGACCCCTTCTGCCAACCCATTGCCTTGGATGAAATCTATCTAACCACCGCCTTGTGACAATAGCATAATGCGGAGGGGCTCCATCTTGCTGAAAGTGTATGATGTCTTCATCAAGATTCAAATTTCCTCCCAAATCTCTTTGATTTTCAACCTCATTTACAATTTCCGGCTCTATCGCATTGTCCAGCATTTCCATATAAACAGCACCCGTCAAATTTCCGTCGATGAAAAATGGACCTATTATTTTATCGCCCAGTATTCCGCACCAAACATTGAGCTTTTGGGGATTTTGGGTATGTCCTTCAACAACAATAAGGACATTCTCATCGCTCCAGTATCTGCAGTTCTGTTTATTCACATTTCCATTTAGCAAAAACGAACACTCATCACTAAAACAAACATTTTTAGTGAGTGAAGGTTGCCTTCGAATTTCCTCCGTCATTAGTTCGCAGTACTGAATCCTTCTATCTGGATCATCGTCGCCAAGTTCCTGCAGAATTTTCATTTTGTAGGGGTGGAATTTGTGCATTGTTAATACTCTTCTGACAGATGTTCGGGGTATGCCTGTTATCGATGCCAACTGGCGCGTTGATGCTTCTGGATTGACCGACACCTGACCAATAACTTCGATTCGCATTTCTTCATTCAGTACCCTGGGCCCTACCCTTTTTTGATTTTTGACCGATCCCGTTCGTTGAAACTTTTGGATCAAATCCCTAACATAAACGTGACTAACGTTTCTGTCCGGATTTCTCTCATTGAAAGCACGGGATTTTCTCAAATAGCACCTACCTTCAGCACCATAAAGAAAAACTATTTCAATTCTTTCTTCCACACTATAAACCATTTTTCGAAGTTTCAACTAAGTAAATTAAATAAAGGTAGAAACTATCGTCACTAAATTTGCAAAATAATGATTTGAAAAATGATAGAAGACAGTAAGTAATGCATTTTGTTTTTTTTTTGTTGCTGTGGGTCGGGTTGCTATAGAAAAGTAAACAAATAGCTGATAAGGAAGAATTTGCGTTACCGCAACTTCTTATTTGTGGATTGGTGGAAAATGTTAAAATAAATTATCTAGATCATTTTTAATTTGGTTCCTATTTTTCAAAATGTCACACCTACATTTCTTAATCACTACTTAGCCGTAATTTAATTTAGGTTGAAATCCTTGTGACCATCGTTTAGCATTTTCAATTAGCTTTCCATAGAGGTGCCACAAGTAGGGTACCGCAATCTTAGAATTTGAAATGAGTGGGGGTGGCGCCTAGGCGTAGGTCGCAGTGATTTGAAAAATACGTAATTTGAATTTAGCTGGGTCGCTTCAATTTCCTATCTCTAATTTCATGCTAAAAATTCTTTTTTTTTGTAACATTTATTTCTACCAATTTTTTCCATTTGACGAGTAGTTTTCCAATGTCACCCTAAAAATTTTATGACCATCGTTTAGCATTTTTCATGAGCTTTCCAAAAAGGTGCCACAAGTGGGGTGTTGCCATTAAAGATTTTGAAGCGAGTAGGGGTGGCGTCTAAGGGGTAGGTCGGGGTGGTTTGAAAAATATGTCATGTGTATTCCGCCTTTATTTTATAAAAATCGTATTTTTTATTTTTTTGATATCTTTTTTGGCGCAAAAATTATAGCCATTGTAAGTTTTCAGTGGCCCACCCTGTATATGCACCAGGTTATTGATAATTTCGATTGTTTAATATTCCAACACGTACTACAAAATTTAGTGTATTTAAAATTCTTTTCCTCACAGTACAGTTCATTCATATTTCCTGATTGCCGTTGTTGGTTTTTTTGTCGTTGTCGCTGGTGTTGGCGACATTTTTTCCACCGCCCTTGTAGTCTTCGTTGTCGGGGTAATGTGGTGTTGGTGGCGTCTCCTGCATCCATTCCTTCAGAGTGGTCCATCCGCCATTCTGATATATTTGACATGTAATCATAATCGCTGAAAAACAATTCGGGCATATTCCCGGAAATATTGATATATTCTGAGGGTGTTTGTTGTTCAACGTCTTCAGTGGATATCTTTTCTCCCCAATTTTTTCGAAGAGGCATTTTGTACAGTTGGCTACTTTTCGAATGACTACTTCAGAGTGCTGCTGACAATCGTTACTCTCCACCTGCATAACTTATTGTTATTCTACAAGATTGACAAATATTTTGAAAAAGTGAGGAAAAGAACGTTAAGACTAGAGGGCAATTCATCATCAGAAATAATAATAATAATAATAATAATAATAATAATAATAATAATAATAATAATAATAATAATAATAATAATAATAATAATAATAATAATAATAATAATAATAATAATAATAATAATAATAATAATAATAATAATAATAATAATAATAATAATAATAATAATAATAATAATAATAATAATAATAATAATAATAATAATAATAATAATAATAATAATAATAATAACCCGTGGGGTGCGCGGGTGTTATAAAGAATACCGCCCCAGTAAGTCCTGCTTGGCGTAAAAGGCCCCTAAAAAGGACAACCGCTCATTGGGTCAGCAGCCCGATGAACTGCTCCTAACACAAACAGATATCACCAGGGCGACGAGGGGTTCCGGGCTGGCCCCTCTCGGAGTCGTCAGGAGACTCAGCCTGTAGGGGACCTCGGCGTAGAGGGTGGCGCCGAACCTCGAGATGAAAACACCCAAGAACGACAAGGAAATGATAGGCCTTTAGATGTTGGTGCACAGCCTGATGTGCTCCCCACTCAAGGGCCCGTACGACGAAAGAAATGGACTAATGAAGAAAACAGAGAAATCATGAAGTCGTACTACAGAGTAACAGCTTTGGAGAGTGATCGAACGATTTACAGACATAAACTTTACAACGATTTCATAGAACGTTTTCCACAACTTCAAAATCTAACGGAGCAGCGAATTGCGGACCAGCGCAGAGCAATAATAACTAGGAATCTACTACCACAAGCAACGATCGAACAACTTAAAGAGGAAATCGCCATAGAACTGAAAAGAATTAACCCACCGGATGAAGAAGTGCACACCGCAGAAAATCAACAAAACCAAGAAACAACGGATGATATAGAAAACGACCCTTGGAACGACACTTTCCAAGAAATAAAACTGAAATACATAGGATCGAATCCCAATGCTAGACCAAAAATCCCGAAAATTATCTATAGACCGGCAACAAAGGCGATTCTATGGAGAGCAAATCACTTTCTTGAAAAAGAACTAAATAACGAAATGAACCTAGAGGAAGTCCATCTATACATATATTGCACCGCTGCGACATGCGTTATGATGAACAAACAAAAACTACATCCAAGAACCAAAAAGAAATCAGAAGCGAAAACTAAACCTGAATGGCAGCGACGCTTAGAACAAAAGATTGACGAGACGCGAAGAAATGTTGGTCGCACACAACAATTGATGAAGAACCCAGCAAACACCAAGATAATTCGAAAAATGCCAGAAAGTTTCCGAAATGAAATCAAAAACAAAACAGCAGAAGAACTCAAAAACAAAGTCACTGACCACCTGGACACACTGAAACAAAAATTAGCGGCTTCCACGAAACGGTTACGAAGATATAATGAAAGCTACCAAAGAAAAACACAAAATAAAGAGTTTGCAGCAAGTGAGAAAATGTTTTACCGGAAAATCAATGAAAATACATCTACTAAAAAAAACGAATATCCTACAAGGGCAAATCTTGCAGAGTTCTGGAAAAATATTTGGTCTAAGCAGGACAAAAAGGTAGGAAATCACGAATGGATTCGCAAAGAAGCTGAGCAATTTCGAGACCAAAGAATGGAGGAAATGATAGTGAGCAGAGAGGATTTCGAAAAAGTTGTAAAAAGGTTAGCAAATTGGAAAGCACCAGGTAAAGATGGAATACAAAACTTCTGGTATAAAAAACTGAAGGCTACACATAGCTACCTGATTCAAAAAATAAACAGTGTTATATATAATCCCGCTGATCTACCACCGTTTCTGACGGAGGGAATTACATATTTAATCCCAAAAGGCGAGGCAACCAAAGACCCTGCAAAATACCGGCCGATTACATGCCTTCCAACTCTCTATAAAATTATCTCAGCTCTTATCAGTAACAAAGTCTATACTTACCTCGAATCTAATAACATACTCGCTATGGAACAAAAAGGGTGCATAAGAAAAGCTATGGGATGTAAAGAGCAACTAATCATTGACTCCATAATATTAGAGCAGGCAACGCGTAAAACCCGCAATCTTTACATGGCTTATGTTGATTACCAGAAAGCGTTCGACTCAGTCCCGCACGAATGGCTTTTGAAGGTACTACAGATATATAATATCGACCCAAGAATTCTAAATTTTTTCGAACATACCATGAAAAACTGGAATACAACTCTAAGTATGAAGACTGAAGAACACCAGATAGAAACATCAAAAATCAACATCAATAGAGGAATATTCCAGGGAGACTCTTTCAGCGCCTTATGGTTTTGTCTAGCTCTAAACCCAATTTCCAGAACCCTCAACACAACAAACTATGGGTTCAAACTAAAAGCGGATAGGCGACACCAACGTGTCAATCATCTTCTGTACATGGATGACCTCAAATTGTATGCCTCCACCAAACCCCATATCGAATCGCTATTGAAACTAGTACACAAGATCAGTAGCGATATATCCATGACTTTTGGAGTGGATAAATGCCAGACTGTGTCGGTCATCAAAGGTAAACTCAGTCATGGAAATCCTATGCAGCTGGATGAGAGCACTGAAATATCTTCAATGGAAGATACGCCTTATAAATACCTTGGGATGCTGCAAACCAATAGAATAGAGCATACACAGATCAAAGAAAACCTAACCAGAAAATTTGAGATGAGACTGCATTCCCTGCTTAAAACAAAGCCAAACTCTCTAAATCTTACTAAAGCAATTAACTGCTATGCCATTCCAATCCTCGAATATTCTTTTGGTGTCATCAAGTGGACTACAATGGAACTAGACAACATTAACAGGCTTATACGCACTCGAATGAATAAATTTAGAATGCACCATCCAAGATCATCCATGGAGCGCGTAACTCTGCCAAGAAACCAAGGGGGAAGAGGGCTAAAGGATCTGACGTCAGCCTGCAGTGCTCAAATCCAAAGTCTGCGTAGGTACTTCCAGCACAAAAACGGAACCTTGTTCCACAGCATTAGAATCGCCGATGAGAAGTGTACTCCATTGAATCTGAGCAACCCAGAAGAATCAACCATTAAAAGCCAAAGTGATGACGAGAAGAATAAAAAATGGGCTGAGAAAGAGCTTCATGGCCGGTACCACAGAGATCTCAACCGAGATAACGTGGACAAGCAGGCATCATTGGAATGGTTGAAAGGGTTATCTTATGCCAGAAACTGAGGGATTTGTGATTGCGATACAGGACCAAGTGATTAAAACAAGAAGCTACGCAAAACACATTTTAAAAGAAAATAGCGCGCATGACAAATGTCGCAAATGCAACCAACAGCAAGAGACAATCGAACACATTCTGTCAGGATGCACAAAACTAGCTGGAAATAAATACATTGAACGACACAACAAAGCAGCTACAATTATATACCAGGAAATTGCGAAGAAACACTCTCTACCCATTGAAAATCCAGGCCCATACTACAAATACCAACCACCGCCGGTAAAAGAAAATGAGAACATAAAACTACTCTGGGATAAAACAATCTTAACGGACATTGAAGTGCGACACAACAGGCCCGATATCGTGCTCATCGACAAAAAAATAAAAACTACCTACTTTATAGATATCGCCATTCCAAACACCAACAACCTGGACCTGAAAACAAATGAAAAAATTGAGAAATATAGAGAGTTAAAACGAGAATATAAAGAAATGCACAATATGGATAGGGTCGAAATAATACCAATCATATTATCTAGCTCGGGTATAGTTCCAAAAAGCTTGAAAGAATACCTTAAAATGATAAACTTACCTGTGAATACATATCGCCAAATTCAGAAGGCAGTGATCCTAGATGCAGCTCATATCGTTCGGACCTTTCTTTCTTGAGCTGTGGACTCGCCAAGATCGTCTTGCTCATGGGCCGACAATCTTGGTTCAACTTTACCTGTGAAAACAGAGCATAAAAAAAAAAAAAAAAAAAAAAAAATAATAATAATAATAATAATAATAATTATAATAAGAAAACTAGTTCAAAATGTTAAACCTCTCCCTAAAAATGGTTGCACTTATAGGTAATAAGTAGTTTAGGATGATGCAGAAGGTTCACCCTCATCATTGCTCGGTTCTTCTAATGAAAACGAGAAAGTTTGTTTTGCCATTTCGAATAATTTCACCTCCTCTTCTGAAATTGCATTGAGTTTGGTATATTTTAGTGGTAGGTTTCCAAATTTTCTATCCAACATATCTTTTCGTGGTGTATAGGCTAAGGTAACATGTATTTTTGACTCTTTTATAATGATTTTCGGATTCCCATACCTATACACACAAGAAAGAGAGACCGATTTCAATTAAAAAAAAATAAAAAAATGAAAAAAGCATACCTGAAACACTGCTTCATCACAACCATAGCCATTTCAAGAGTGAACAATTTAGGGTCCGTTAACGTGATAATAATCGTACACGGAATTCCGGCCATTTCACAAGTTGGTGTTTTTAGTTTTTCAAGCAAAGATAGTAATGATAATAGTTGAAAGCGTATTTACTTTTGAAATCTAACCACGTATTATACTAAAGAGTCTTCACGCTGCTCTTCATCATATTTATTCTGGATGAGTAGGAGATTAACATGTTTTTCCTGTTTGTTTCTTGTTATGAGTATGGGCATGACTTTGAAGTTTTTCTCAGATTTTTCCAGTTTGTAAACATTTATAGATAAACCATTCTATTTCTCGAAACTGGGAATTTGTTTCAAAGTCATGGGGAATTGAATGCCTTTCAACTTTAATACATTTATATAATCGGGATATTTGCACAATCGCTGTGGATTTTTTTCTACTGGAAACAATGCTGAAATTACAGCCCATGCAAAACAGGCTTGATCGTTGTTTTTCACGTTTACGCAGACATGTCTCGCTGCTATTTGTGCTGGTAGTTTGATGAAGGAGGATCCTAGCTGTTGT